AAACCGACCACTTGAACAAATGGATCACTATAAATGAAATCGAATTAGCAATAAAAAACCTCCCTATAAACAAAAGTCCAGGACCAGATGGTTTCACTGGGGAATTCTACCAAACATACAAAGAACTCATACTGGTTCTTCTCAAACTCTTCCAGAAGATTGAAAAGGAGGGAGTACTCCCAAACTCATTCTATGAAGCCACAATCATCCCGATACCAAAACCAGGCAAAGACACTGCCAAAGAAGAAGATTACAGACCAATATCACTGATGAACATAGATGCAAAAAATCCTCAACAAAATATTACCAAACAGAATCCAACAGCACAGAAAAAAAATCATACACCATGATCAAGTTGGGTTCATCCCGGGAACACAAGGATGGTTCAACACACGCAAATCATCAATGTGATACACCACATCCACAAAAGAAAGGACAAAAACCATATGATCATCTCAATAGACACAGAAAAAGCATCTGATAAAATTCAACATCCATTTATGATAAAAACCCTCACCAAAGTGGGTATTGAGGGAACATATCTCAACATAATAAAAACTATATATGACAAACCTACAGCCAGCATAGTATTCAACGGTGAAAAACTGAAAACCTTCCCACTAAAATCTGGGACAAGACAAGGTTGTTCACTCTCAACACTTCTATTCAACATAGTCTTGGAAGTCCTAGCCACAGCAATCAAGCAAGAAAAAGAAATAAAAGGGATCCAAATTGGAAAAGAAGTGGTAAAACTGTCACTAAATGCTGATGACATGATACTATATATAGAAAACCCTAAAACCTCCACACACAAAAATACTAGAACTATGAAAAGAATTCAGCAAGGTAGCAGGATACAAGATTAATGTACAAAAATCAGTTGCATTTCTTTACACTAACGATGAAGCAACAGGAAAAGAAAATAAAGAAACAATCCCTTTTAAATTAGCACCCAAAGTAATAAAACACCTAGGAATAAATCTAACCAAGGAGGTGAAAGACTTACACCTGGGGAACTACAAAACTGATTAAGGAAATTAAAGAAGACTTAAGCATAAAACAAGACACAATAAATCTCCTAGAAGAAAACATAGGCAAAATATTATCTCACATACATCTCAGAAATGTTCTCCTAGGGCAATCTACCCAAGCAATAGAAATAAAAATAAGAATAAACAAATGGAACCTAATTAAACTTATAAGCTTTTGTACAGAAAAGAAAACTATAAGCAAAACGATGACCTACAGAATGGGAGAAAATATTTGCAAAAGATGAGACTGACAAGGGCTTGATTTCCATAATATATAAACAGCTCATACGACTTAATATGAAAAAAACAAACAACCCGATCCAAAAATGGGCAGAAGACCTAAACAAGCAATTCTCCAAGGAAGGCATATGAATGACCAATAGGCGCATGAAAAAATGCTCAATATCACTAATTATCAGAGAAATGCAAATCTAGACTACAATGAGGTATTACCTCACACCAGTCAGAATGGCCATCATTCAAAAGTCCACAAATGACAAATGCTGGAGAGGGTGTGGAGAAAAGGGAACCTTCCTACACCATTCGTGGGAATGCCGTTTGGTGCAGCCATTGTGGAAAACAGTATGGAGATTCCTCAAAAGACTGAAAACAGACTTACCAAATGATCCAGCAATCCTACTCCTCGGCATATATCCAGAGGGAACCTTAATTCAAAAAGACATCTGCACCCCAATGTTCATAGAAGCACTATTAACAATAGCCAAGACATGGAAACAAACTAAATGTCCACCGACAGATGACTGGCTAAAGAAGTGGTATATTTCTACAATGGAATACTACTCAGCCATAAAAACTGATAAAATAATGCCATTTGCAGCAACATGGATGGCCCTGGAGAATGTCATTCTAAGTGAAGTAAGCCAGAAAGAGAAAGAAAAATACCATGTGATATCACTCATATGTGGAATCTAAAAAAAAAAAGACAAATGAACATAAGTATAAAACAGAAACAGACTCACAGACATAGAATACAAACTTGTGGTTTCCAGGGGTGAGAGAGGTGGGAAGGGACAGACTGGGAGTTCAAGATTTGTAGATACTGACTGGTATACATAAAACAGATAAACAAGTTTATACTGTATAGCACAGGGAAATATATTCAGTATCTTGTGGTGCCCTACAGTGAAAAAGAATATGAAAATGAATATATGTATATCCATGTATGACAGAAGCATGGTGCTGTACACCAGAAATTGACACAACATTGTAAACTGACTATACCTCAATAAAAAAGGGGGGGATTTGAGGGGGAGATGAAATTTTGATTCTGTTTCTTAATCATTTTGATTGTCATTGTGCTAAAGAAGATAGGAAAACTACATTTTGGTGCCATAAATATTAAAGACCAATTGTACATTTTCGCTTGAACTCTGATCAAAACCAGATAAAGCCAGATAAAATCATGTGTAATATCCAGATTTCAACTGGCTATCATTTAATATCTATGGCTAGTGGCCCTACCATACAGAATGAATGGAATGACCTAGCCTTGTCTTTAAAACAGGACTTGAAGACATTTATATATCCAAAGAAATGTCAAAGCAACAAACAAGTGAACTTCAATTTCCCATATACTATATTAGGTAAAGACAAGACTTAACCTCAGAGACATGGACTACATGCCAATTCCGTCTTTTTTAACTTTGGTATTTGACTCCCTGATTAGGTGACAATATAAAGAGATTCAGCCTGGCAGTCTGGGTCTATAGCTCCAGATTCCTTGGTAAAGAAATCTGTCAATAAACAACCTCAGCCAATGGAGAAAGGAACTGACTTTCTCCCTAAAAAAATGTGTTTAGCCTGTAGATTCAGAATTAGGTATAATGATAAACAAAATCAACATAATATAGATATATTGAGTAATTGATTTATACTTGTGATTTTAAACTGGAATCTTACTAAATTCATCAACAGTATCAAAACACTTAAGAGAACTAAGGATTCAACCCATCTATATGTTTAAAGAACTAGGTTTATACAAAACCACCTCAGTACTCAGAAAAGTGTTCATTCTTAGTAGACAACTGAAGTACAGAAAATCAAATATGGTATATTAAACTTAAATGCAGTTTAAAAGTTTTAGGAAACATAAAACCTGCTTACAAGTAAATTTTAAATTCTGTTAAATTTATAAAATAATTTGCATTCAAAAGTAGTAATAGTCAATTCCAGAATATAAAACCATAAGATATAAAATCTCTAAATCTAACCATAAGAATGTAAAGAGTGAAGCACTAAAAAAAAAACAGTTATTGATTCTTCATGAGTAACAACTTCTAAGAATCTTCTACAATCAGTATATGGATAATAATAATTCAAAGGATTTCAAAAGAGTATTTAAAAGTAATGATCCTGAAAAAAAGATCTGCAGGAATAGATTAACTTGGAGCTCACAGTATGTGGGCTTTCAAAGTAAGATAACTGGACAAAAATAAATAGGATACTCTGTCTTGGCTTTCCAATTTTAAGTATAAACTGCATTGCTCTTGGGATTAAGAAGGGAAGGACTAAAGAAGGATACATCTTTTACTGAACTGTGAAAAAGTCTTAAGTTAGAAGACAGGCTAATTAGAAAAATTAATACAGTAATAGTGCCATCTGAAGTATGAGCATATGTGAATCATGGCTACATGAAACGATAGCTTTAAAAACAGCAAAAAACTAACTTTTAAAATTTTATATACTGTTTATAAATATTTAAACAATTAAATATGATTATCCATATCAACGTCTTAAACAAAAGTTTAAGTACTCCAAGTCCTAGCAGTTTCAAATTTTCACATATACACCATAATGACTTAAGCCAAACTTGACATATGAGTCTTTTAGTTTTATTAGATCAGAATCCTAAGGGTACTAAGTTATAGACCTGAAGGGAATTCACCTTAGTTTCTTGTGACTCTGCAGTGATTACATCTGTGCCAATAATTCCCCTCTCACCCTCCCCATCCCATGTTCCATAGTTTTATGACTAAAAGTTAGACACTAAAAAGTGTATGTTCAGATTTTACTTTCTTCCTAGTCAAAAAACATATGCCTATAGCAATCTTAGATGACTTCCTAAGTCTGTTAATCACTATAGCTATCTTTTAAATACTATGTTCTAGAATTCTGACAAACTGGAATTGAATTAAACTGTCTCCACCCACTTCCCACTATATTACACCCTCCACTTCCCCACCCCCAGATGAAGGTTAGGTTGGTAGATGGATTGAAGATGAAATAAAGCCAGACATCAAATAACTTACTTGAAATCCATCTCTTACCTTCTGTACTTAACCCTGGACTTGATGTGAACTTGGCTACATCAACAATTTTTACAGCAAATTGTTGCCCAGTTTCTCTGTTGATACATCGTCGTACAACACTGAAGGGACCCCTAAAAAATAAAAAAAGGGCAAGTTTAATTTGTTGATTTTGTTAAGTTCCTATAGCCACAGTTTTCAAAGTCAAATTTAAGTAATACAGTTTTCAACATATTTTTCTAAACTTCATAAGGCAACTGATTAAAAGTTACTGAACCAAAAACAAGAGAAACAAATTTGCATTTCAAAAACACATTTAAAAATTTGAAATCATATTCTTATGTTCAAGGCAAATAATCTTTGTAATTATCTCTATATTATCAATATCTTAAACAAAATATGAAATCGATCACAGTGGTAGTATATACAACTTTTACCTTTTGAACCAAAAAAAAAATCATTCTCTCACCTTACCTACCACTTACCTAATCTTCACTAACAAGTCCTACTGAGTTTATCTCAAATATCTCTTAATCCTGTTCATTTCTCTCCATGTCTCATACCCTAGTCTAAGCTACTACCAGCTTCCACCAAGACCACTGAAAATTTGTTTCTCCCATTCATTCTTGCAGTGATGTTTTAAAAATGAAAATCTGATATTATGTTTCCACTTAAAATTCCATAGAGAGAAGGTATTTGCAACACATATTTAATCAAGAACCAAAATATATAAATAATTCTTAAATAAAATAAGAAAATACACTCCAAGTAAGTCTGGGCAGAAGACTTGAATAGGCACTTCACAAAGAGAAAGCCCTGCATGGTTTGGTTTCCAACAATCTTTCCAGTCTCACTTCAAATCACACTGAAATCCTTCATCCTCCTCAAACTTCAAACTAAAATTATTCTAAATTGCCATAGGAAAGGAAGTAATTCTACTAGCAGAATCACTGGTCCAGTTATTTGCCTACCCAGTCCTCTCCTCAACTGAAACTGGTGGCTCGCAATACTGGCCATACAATTGAATCAATTGGAATAGCTGATAAAATACCAATGTCCAGCCCAGGCATTAAAAACACATACACACACGGCTCCTTGTGATTAATAGTTATTAAACAAGTATCTGAACTAAACACAATCCAACATGCTTGAATCAACTACTGAATAATGTAGAATGCAACTGTAATATACTATAGTAGTTTATTTGAAGGCTAGTACAGTTTAAGTCATTAAATACACACATGCACATGTTCTTGTATACATGTATGTAGTTCCCCCTCCTCAGGGAACAAAACAAAATACTCTCATTGGTGTTTCACAGGTAGAAACAGTATCCCTGGATGCACGTTGTCAATCAAGATAGAGAAAAGTTCATTTACAGCAGGGCACTTGTGATACTGCTTGCCTTAAAGTATAAGCTTGCCTTTATTCTTTCACTCAGAAGACAAGCAAAAGAATACTATCTAATCTAGATATAAACATTTGTCTGAGATCATACATATTAGTTGATTTTACCATGCCATCATCAGGACATCAATTACACTACAGTTTCAAATCTCTCTCTTCAAGCAGCCTAACAAAGCAAAACTGGAAGGAAAAGAAATGGTAATAATGTACCTTTCAGAACTCTATAGAAAAAGGACCTTTTTGATAATCACTCAAAACTATTCAAAGATTTTCCCCTGTGAGAAGACAATATAACAATGTAAGTCAGGACTCCCACAAATGTTTTCATTCTCAATCAGATGTCTTACTTGTGATTGCTTATCCTGACAATAGCAAGCAATTTCAGGAAATGTTTAGCATAATTGGATTTTGTCCACACATAAACCCTTGGGACTCTATTTTTATATACATTTGTGTAGTGTGCCTCAATTCACTACACCTTTTGGATACTTTCCGAGATCTGTACATGGGATTATTTGTGGTCAATATAGTCAATTTTTCACTTTTTTCCTGTTTGAACAAAGGAGAGGACAGAAACATAGCTTTTCCCTCAACCTTTTAGTAATAGTAGAATGAAGAAAGCTAGGAAGAATTGAGAGAAAAGTGAATACTGATCCAAAAAAAAAACCCAAAAACATGTTTAAATCTGTGGACAAAAATCAAATCAAATCCTCAGTTCTTAGGGCTAATTTTATAATGGGAGGCAAAGAAAATGAATTTATCTATGAACTACTGATGACCTAAAGATAGGTCACCAGGAAAGCATTTCAAGGATCTATCCATCAGCGACATTCAGGGAGTTAGAAAAGGTGAATCAAATTTAGTACAGTAAAAAGACACTGAAATACACTTTCAGTTTTTTTTGTGATTCAATCCATCAACTAGAAACTCAGTGGAAACTGATAAAAAATTTAAATAAGTATATAGTGTCTTTAATTTTAGCAGGGCTTGTTTATATTTATCTGGTCGATAGACTAAAAAGAGGTAGGCTATGAGAAAATCTGCCTTGGTTTCTCATCTTAATGGGGGGCGGGTAATAAAGTGTATATAAAACATCTACTGTATTATACTTACTTATGAATTATACCTGAATGACAGTTTAAGGAAAGGCAAAAATTCAGGAGGCCTAAGGTTTCAGTCTGGCCTACTTTTTTTGTACCTTGAAATTTCATCCTTAAATTATTAGTCCATAGTACAGTTGATTCTTGAATAATTGTGTGCAGGAAAATATTAAGAGGTAGTTATAAGCCATCATCATAAACTCTTATCTTTCTTCTATTTCCACTAACTCTGGCCAGGGTATTAATCAAAATGGAATGATAAGATAATTGATAGCATTTCAGATTTGATAAAATACATATTCTTTATCCAATGCTTTCTGAATGCTGAATGTTGATTAGGATTGTGGCACAAGGTTCTACTCAAGGCAGGTGGTGCTTGCAGAATTCTGTTTTAAAGTAAAAGGTCAATTAAATCAGAATACTTCACAAGTGAGTATTTGCTCTAACTCCCCTAAGGTTTTGAAAAGAATGCAGCTGTGTGTCTATGCAGACACAGAATAATCTCTTCTAGTTTTCATTTATGTGAAGAAAGGTTAAGTCTAAGAACTGAACAATTCTGATACCAAAAAGTAAATACAGTTGGCTCTCTGTATCTGCAGGTCCTGCATCTGTGTATTCAGCCAACCATGGATTGAAAATAGATGAAAAAAATTCAAAAAAGCTCCAAAAAAAGTAAAACTTGAATTTGCTGTGCATTGGCAACTATTTACATAGTATTTACATTGTATTAGGCATTATAAGTAATTGAGAGATGATTTAAGGGTTACAGGATGCTATGTATAGCTTATATGCAAATAATATGCCATTTTATAATATAATATAAGGGATTTGAGCATCCGTGGATTTTTGGTATCCATGAGGATCCTAGAACCAAACTTCTGCAGATACCGAGGGACAACTGTGCATCAAAAGATGACTAGAATTAAACGAAGCTATGCTAGAATACAGTATGTTGGTCTCCAGGATAATAGGATAGATTCAGCAAATGCATCTAAATTAATTTTCCTCCCCAAACCAACTAAAATGATAGCAAAGGACTAAAAAAATTTTTTAAAGGACTGGGAGAATGAGAGAATACAACAGTAATAATCAACTTTTGGAAGCAAGAAAGCAGATGGACTAATGTAACTGGCTTAGCATACTTAGGAAAGCTGAATTGCAAGGAGAAAGTAAGAATAGTTCAGAACCAAACCTGTTTACACTACAGAATCCTCAAGAAGTGCCTGAACTTGTAGCACCAGTTAACTCTGGAACTAGAGGGGCTAAATTAACAATGTTTGAGTGAAATCTATTAGAGAAGCAGTTAGTGTCTTAGATCCCCCTCCTCTACTCAGTGCCACTAGGTAACTGCCCTGCCTTATCCTCACAGAGGTCCATTTGCTGCAGAGGGTAAAACACAGGGCCTTAGAACTGGGGACACAAGGCAGTCGAGGAAGTGTCTACTATATGAAAAGCAAGGGGATTATGTGATCACACACAAACTGAATGCAGACACCCCATCCCCTTTTCCTATTAACAGGGGGGACTGTTAGAAGCTAGATCTTTACCCTTCAGGCAGGAGAGGGAAGATCTTCTGTTGAATATCTGACCAGCCCAGAAGGAAAGATGTAAAGATAATGACATGAAGCTCTTCAAACCACTTAACCAGATCATCCTCCCTCGAAACCCAAAGTCAACAAGTTCTGCCCGCAAATTCAGAGCTCACCATCAGCTTTCCAAGCTAGGCACTGGTGATGTTTTGGGCTGGACAGTTCTTTGCTGTGGGTAGATGTTCTGTGCATTGTAGGGTGCTTAACAGCATCTCCAGCCTCTACCCAGAGATGCCGGTAGCACCCCACTCCAGTTGTGACAACCAAAAATGTCAACAGACATTGTAAAATGTCCCTCAAGAACCACTGCTCTATTCCTACTCTTGAGTAGACAATCAAGCTCCCAAGACATTTGGAGAAGAGTCTCTAATTTGGAAGATAGAGATCAAAACAAACAGAAAGAGCAATTTCGAGGAAACAGACCAAAGAAGAAAAAAACCTCCAACTACTATTAATATCCTCAGAAAGATATTATAACTATGAAACAGAAACAGAACTTTCAGAAAGCAAAAAGAGGGCCCTTGAAAAATAAACACATGAAGAAATTTAAAACTCAACAGAAGGGCTGGCAGATAATGTTGAAGAAATTTCTCAGAGAGTAGAGCCTAGAGAACAAAGAAAATGGAGGGGAGGAGCTCAAAGAAATAATCCAAGAAAATTTCCCAGACCTTAAATCATGAGCCACCCAAATTAAAAGGACCCACCAAGCACTCAGCAAAATAGGTTAAGAGATCCACGTCCACACATGCCCCTGTGAAATTTAAGAACCCTGTGGGGCCCCAAATGTTCAGATATCCAGAAGTGGGGGTAAGGGTGCACCAGGAGGGGAGGATGATAGAGTTGACGCACAATAGCTCAGGAACTGCAGTGGCTTCTGATCTCTCAAAGGTAACACTAGAAGCAATAAGATAATAGAGTGACATCTTCAAAATCATGATGGAAAATTATTTCTAATCTATAAATTCTATCTCCAGCCAGAAAAATCAATAATCATAAAAACATTTTCAGACATGAAAGAGCTCAATAAAGTACCTGCAA